CTCCTTTTTCTTCTTCTCTTGCATGGTGGGGAACGTTGTATATATTCATTTCGAGGTTAGCGCTCTTCGTATGTTTGTTGAACATCTTTCGCACCGCACGTAGCTGAGCGCGCTACCACGGAGGTGCGATGAGTGAGCTTCACGAGCGGTCTGGTGAAGCACATGCGGTCAGCTTACGACGGAGGCCGAGGGCAGTGTGATTCCTTCACCACACGGATTACAGAGCGCGTTTGTTAGCACGTTACGTGCACCTCCACACGCCACCACTGATATCACTCACCACTGATATCACTCACCACTGGTACTGCGACCAGGACTCAAAAACCGGGTGGCAGGGCTCATTTTGCTGTGCATTAAACCACTGTGCCACTGCTCTCACCACAATTGTATATTATATACATTTGCAATGTTGGAAACTACTCTCACCTTGAATGTGTACAGCAAAAGATGTTGAGCCGAGATAGCTGCTTGGTGTAACGTGTTTCTTTGGGCATCGCATTTCTCTCCATTGTCTCACATTCCAAGCCCCTATTTTGTCCACATGACTCACATCCGTGATTAACCCGAACTCATCCCTGCTCCTGACATCCGTTGACAAGACCCATGCGGGCATTAGTGAATTCCCAAAAGCCATAGTCATGGCCCTCTTTCTTGTGTATGGTCTTCATTTAATGTTTCCCAAACATACCTTTTGCCTCTTTCATGGTGACTCAATGTGTGCAGGCTAGTGGTGGAATTCACAAACCTTGGCATGAATCTTCCCACAGCTTTACTAAGTGGCGTTTATGTTGCATTTATGGGTAAAGGTACAGTTGCAGCCCTGCAATTGCTCTGTCGTGCCACTGTTGTAGGAAGGGCCTCCAACACCGTTGAAGAAAGGCGTCTCCAAAAGTGGCCCTAAATGATCCATATGACTTATGGGTCAACTGACGGGCCACTGGGTGAACTTTAATGGGACATTATGGGCCTTCTAGAGGTATATTTCACCCATCCTACACTGGCCAGACGTCTTGGAAAGGGGTGGGTGTACTCACACCTAACCCCACCATGCTTATATTGCTCGGTGGACGGAGGGTGAGGGAGGTTTAAGAAACCTCGACATTGTTTCAACGGCCCCGCCAAGAGTTGGAATCGAACCGGTGACCTTTGCCTTGCAAGTGGAGCGTACAAACCATGAGATTGTGGCAGGTTTGCGTTGTTATTGTGCACATGTGTATATTTGTTCATTTTCATACTCGGATATTGAATGCAATATGTATATACATACATTTATATTTTAATTGTTTATGGAAAAAAGGGCCTTATGTAAACTGGCAGATGTGTTGCTCTTACTGTACAGCTGTGCAAATGTTTTTTACGCCAAAAAAAAATCTAATGTGGATTTCAGAGTGACTGCTTGGGTGTGGTTTCCAAAAATTAAAACACATTGGAATTTATTTGGGGGGGGGGGGGGGAACAAGGTGTGGGTTTACTTTAACTGTGTGGTTGCAATTATGGTTTTTGAAACAAATAGCGCGTGTATTTTGAGGCAGGATGCAACAGTGACCACACCATCAGTCACTTTTAGTTTTTCCCCGGTAGGAATTCGCTCGTTTTAAAAGGCCACCGCGCGTATCTGTAGAGTCTGCGTGCACGATTGCAGTTAAGGAATTTATCAGTCTGATGAACTTGAACTGTAAATCCTCACGACTATAAATATTTGTTCCATATCGCAGCTAATAAATTTATGGACCAAAATATTATTTTAGGTTTCACTGGTAAAACAGTCCCTTGCTTGTTTATTTATGTATTATGTTATGTTGTCATATCTCCTGAGAAATCAATTTACAGCTATATAATTTAGACAGCCTGGCAGTTCAGAACATGTGATTTTATACGAATGATCTATAAATAGATTACATTGTTCACCATCACGGAGAATTAAGGGAAATAATAAATAGGCAAAACTCCATACATAAAATAGCATCATAATAATTTAGACCTTCAATCTTACAGACATTCTGGACAAGTGTTATCTTAGTTTGTACTGTTTTCAAAGACAGAGTCTTGTTTTTATTACCAATAATCCATCACAATTTTTCTGATTTTGCACTTAACGAGCCCCCTTGTGTAGGTCGATAAGCCTTGCTGACAATACCAGGAAAACCGGCAGGATTTGTTTAACGTGTCCAGCTCGACTGATGAGACTCCAAAAGTCAAAACTGACCCAGAGTTTGCATGCATGAACAAATGCTGCAGGAAAACATTGGTGCGGAGGGCGATACAATTTTAATTCAAGTGGATGGGCAGATGCATGGTTCTTTATATCTGTATATTAAAAATTCTCAAGCTCTACTGAGAAAACCCCGGGGCTCTTACAGCCAAACTAAGACAATCTTCAGAGGGCCAAGAGAAAAATCCTGCATGCTTCAAAAAAATAAAAGTGTCCTCATGCATAAATGTACCTTGGCTGGATCTTATTTCCATTGGTGGCCCTGAGACAGTTACGCACAATCCACATGTTCATGGTGGGTGTCTGCAACTTCACAGGATGGCCACAAAATAATTGTTTTTTTACCCTTCTATCTGGCAACAAAACTGACACCTTTTTTACAAGGAGTCATGTTTACATAGACCACAATACCTGCAGTCATAATGCAAACAAAAACATAACTCTGATAATGTATGCACTGTCCTTTAAGTTGATTGGTCCACACCCGAGATAGCTTTCCTTAGAGCCTAGTCTCACATAGGTTGGCCAGATAGAAGGGTAAAAAAACAATTATCATATTTTTACTGGCAAATGAGGTTCCAAGGATGGCCACAGTTAACTTCCCTGCAAAAGATTACTCATTTTAGCCACCCTAGACGGGATAAATGACCAAAGTTGACTTCCAAACAAAAAACATGAAATCACACCCTTCCGATTGCGAGTCAAACACTCTATCACAGCACATCTTGGCTAACACGGTGGCCTTGCTATTACTACTGTTGTCAGTTTCAGATCTAAAACCTGAGAACATTTTAAGCACAGCTCTATGTCCTCCTTCTGTGCCATTGGGTGAATCAGTGGCTGCTTGAGGCCCTCAATGATCCATATGACTGATGGGCCCAACTGACGGACCATTGAGTGGACTTTAATGGGCCATTATGGGACCTAAACACCGCAATCTCACACCATTATGAAACACAACGTTGGGTGCTGAGCTGTGTCCACTCTCCCATTCCTTTCTCTGTGTCCCTTGAGGCCTAGTGACTGGTCCGGGCAAGGGGTACTTTTCTCGGCAGTAATCAAGGCGAGGTGGGTGGCTGGTGGTCTGCTATGACATAGATCAAATCAATGGTGACAATGAATCTCAATGGGCTTGCGCCATTCCAAATTGAACTGCCACCTGTTTGGGATTTTGGTTAAAAATGTGCAGGGCACTACAGTGAACGGCATGGCTGAAGTAATTGTATGCGATTGCTATATGCACCAGCTGTAAAAAAAAAAGATGGATGGCATACCCACATTGAATCCATTTACATACGAGCCAATAAAAGCTTCGCATATTTCTTTACGCGCACGCACGCACATATACACCCACACACGCTATGTGTCCTTAGGACTTATAATCGTTCAACACAGACACAAACAATGCCATGTGCTCCAGTTGAGAGTACGATGGAATTCGAGGTGGCTGAGAACCTGCGTTCTAATCCCGGTTTCAGAATCCTGTGGTTATACCAGGTTTGTTTTGTGTGTGTTTAAGTAATGTGAGTTTATGGTTTCTTTTCAGTCACCAATAAACTGCACAGAGTTCCACCGCCTGCTCCCATTATGTTGCCTGGTAGGATGGGGATGGTTTCGTTGTAGTTTTCTTGTGTTTTGCGGGATTTTTTTGCCGTTCTTTTACTTTGCACTACTATCATGTTTTTGTGTTGTTTGTTGCTGTAACGTTCTTACCACGTTGCCCTACTGGACATCTGTAAAAAAAGAGCTTGATTGATCCTCGGATTTCTCCTGCAGTATTTACAAACATTCAGATTCCGATATCTGTGGGGTTTCAAAAAAATGTGACGTATTCCAGCTCGAAGTATAACAATAAAAAAAACACATTCGTTTTAATGACACGTGACAAACACTCTTTGCCGAGCATTCGACATGTGTGCCCGAGCATGAATAAAGCGGCCGACTGAATTATTTTGGAAGTAGTTCTATGGCGTAGGACCTTGTGAGTATTGCCTGACACGTGGTGGTGGTGGTGGTGCGGGCCGTGATAATTTACGGACGGTAATTTATGTCTCCTGACGCATTGCTTATAGCAGAATAGGAATTGAATTTTAAAACAATTCTCTACCTTTAAAATGTTGAAAGTACTACTACTATACGTGTGATTCCTCACTACTGTGGTAACATTTTTGAAATGTAGTCGTAGTTAGTCTTATCAAAACGTATTCGATGCATTGTGTCTTTAGAGAACTGATAACATCCATTGCAGCTCCATTAATAAATGCATTAATGTACTTAACTTATCTTCTTGGTTCTTTCGGTAAAGTCACGTAGAAGGGAAATAATAAAATAATAAAAATTAAACATAATAAAATAAAAATATCTGGTGAGAATTATGTTATTATGTTTTATTTGTATTATTTTATTATTTCCCTTCTACGTGACTTTACCGAAAGAACCAAGAAGATGAATCCCTGCAGTCACGAAAGCTTTAAATCGAAATTTTATTATGTTTTATTTTTATTATTTTATTACTTCCCTTCTACGTGACTTTACCGAAAGAACCAAGAAGATGAATCCCTGCAGTCACGAAAGAAGCTTTACATCGGTACTTAACTTAGTTGGCTCAGTGAACAGACGCAGTGCACTGCGGTACGTGCATAGCAGCTGATCAACGTCTCACTGGATTCGCGGTAATGTCGAAAACAGACAGCGGAACGCGGTCAACGCACGAGCCGGTCACAACACGTGTCACTGGAATGCAGAGCGAGTCCACGCTCATAAAACTTCCTCGCTCTCTCCCCTACAGACGTCTCCCCGTGGCTCCATAACTTCACCTTCTCGGGAGCGGTCAATTTCTCACAGATCGCCTTTGATCCCAGCCGGGGTCAGCTGATCGTTGGAGCCAGGTGAGCAAGGCCCCCAGCAACGGGGAACGGCCGGCAACAAACAGCAAATAGATGCGATTAAGCACGTTGCTTGAATTGAGCAACGTTATTTGTATTGTTATAAGAGCTTGGGGAACATTGGCGACGGGAGGGAATTCCAAAGTTGTGCAGTGCGAGGGAATAAGCAGAAAGAGAAGTGTTGTGACCTACAGTGTGGTGAGTGGGTGGGTGAGTGAGTGAGTCAGTGAGTGGATGAGTGAGTGGGTGAATGAGTGCGTGGGTGAGTGAATGAGTGGGTGAGTGGGGCAGTGAGTGAGTGGGTGAGTGAGTGGGTCAGTGAGTTTCTGTGACCTGCAGTGTGGTGAGTGGGTGAGTGGGTGAGTTAGTGGGTTAGTGGGTGGGTGTGTGGGTGGGTGAGTGGTTAAATGGGTGAGTGGGTGGGTGAGTGGGTGGGTGAGTAGGTGGGTGAGTTGTTGTGACCTGCAGTGTGGTGGTTGAACACAGCGTGGTAGAGACGAAACAGTCAGTGTCTGGTAGACCAAGTCCTCAGCACTGGTGGAGGAATTAATCAAATAATTCCAGATGTAGCTTGGTTTAGTTGGGCAACAGCAGTGCTCCGAGTGGAAACTAATCACAAGTTCAATCCCCAGCAAAGGTTGACTGAGCCCCATTGACACCATCGGTACCATCAATATAGCTCGCTGCAGTCATAGTAGTAGTAGCAGAACCAACTTCACTGGTACCACTACTGCCATTGCTACGACCACGATCTCCACCACCACCATCAACCACAATTACCACAACCATTGCCAACATTTTCATTGCCTGCATAGTACATATGCCGGCTTCCCCATTTTTATTACCACCCCCACCATTATTGTTACCACCCCCACGTAGCCCTACTCCGTTATCGGAGAACGGTTGAAATTCCTCAACCCAGTTTGGAAAAGGCCTGGGACACTGTCAGTACATCGCATTGTTATTACCTTATCCTAATTCCCTAGTGTGTGTGTGTGTGTCATTGTCCGCAGGAACTACCTGTTCCGGCTCAGCATGTCTAATCTCAGCCTCATCCAGGTGAGTGGCGGCTGCTTTGCATTTCATTGATTTCCACCGTAGACAATTCCGGCCGCGGTGTCGCGCAGTGGCAACACTTGTGCCTCACAGTCAGAAGGAGCCTGGGTTGGATTCCCGACTCAGGCATCTATCTGCGTGGAGTTTGTATGTTCTCCCCCTGTTCTGCGTGGGTTTTCTCCAGGTTCTCTGGGTTTTACCCCCAAAGCATACAACATACAATGGAACATACAATATTGGTCAAACATACCAACGCGGAAAAGAGCCCCCAGCAAAATCCTCAATTGGGATCACACACAGCAGCAGCATTGATCCCCTACCGTGACAACTTGGCAGGACCCTCCTGAAAAGAGTCTTGAGACTCGGTGAGGTTTTTCTGGGTAAGCATGCACAATAATAATACATCAATCGTAAGGCCCATGGAAATAGGCTCTCGCGTGTATTGAATTCCAATGGCTACATCAACGGACTCCTGTGCAACCATTTAACAACAGCTTATGTTCGTATATTACTATTGCACAATTGCATTCTACTTTTATAGTGTGCTGTGGAATGTAAATGCGTGGAGTGAACACGCTTCAGCACCACCGCTGTTAACGCTGCCATAAAACAGAAATGGGCTAAGTTCTTCAGGCAATGGCCAATCTTTTAGAGCAGAGAGAAAGGACAGTCAGTGTAACATAACAAGTAACTTTCTGTCAGAGCAGCTGGCCTCGTATCGCTGTGCTTACAGCACTTGAATCAAATCCCGATCGTGGAATTGATAGAACAAGTATAATTTCGCGGGAAATCCAATCGTGGTTTTTCTCTTCATAGTCTGGTCCCTGTTAGAGCAAAATGTGGAATGTCCACCACTTGTTCAGGATGGTTTTGAGGCCTTCGTTCATGAGCACACCGACCATAACTGATGATGAAGATGATACTCTTAGTTCTTTCGGTAAAGTCACGTAGGTAAAAAATGAAATTAAAATGAATAAAAAATAAAATAAAAATCACGACGTTTCGGAGGCAACACAAGTCTCCGTCATCAGGTGGGACCATCACATCATGTCGTGATTTTTATTTTATTTTTATTCATTTTAATTTCATGTTTTACCTACGTGACTTTACCGAAAGAACTAAGAGTATATGAATCCTTGCAGTCACGAAAGCTTCAAATCTAGGATGACGATAATGTTCAAGGCCACCGGTGGAGATGAGCACCAGTTCTCGGTTTCGTTTGAGCAGGGAGACACTTTGACTTTTGAAATGTAAAAAAAAAACACGCACAAAACACAACACAGACAACGGCACTCTGGGAGGTCGGTGGGTTAAACGTATCGCACGGGCTGCGTCGCACTCGCTAAAGGGTTTCACGCGTTTGCCCGCTGGCCGGCGGGTGCCGACGATGCCGGGCAGAAGACGCCGCGCTCTGCGATAGCGAGCCCTGTGAGAGCGCACGGTCGGAATGGTTTTCTCAAAACACGGTCACGCTCTCAAGCAGTGCTGATAGGGCTTTGCCGGTTCAACAGTTTAAATTTTTTTTAAAGAGTACTCTTTATGGAAAACCGCAACCCAAAAAAATAAAAATAAAAATCTGAGTGCATCTCAGCACTCAAATAACCGTAGGGAAGGCGTTCGTCGCCTTTGGCAGCCCAGAGCCAGCGGTGATAATCTCACGTTGACATTACAGGTGCTGCCATTCTGCCTAGAGGAAAACTACTGTTGGCTTCGACCAAAGTGGTACTTGATGTTGGCAACCTCGGAGAGATGATGATGGGCTGAGTCGCGACCTTCTGATCGAGTCGGACCTTTTAACGACAGTTGTACCCGGACAGCAAACAAAACACACTCTTACAAACACCGACCACGTGTTATGACGTAGACGTGTCACCGCATGTATCCAGCGGTTAATCTGGATTGTCACTCTCACAATGCATGCATTGAATTGGATGTAAATTGATTGCATGCTGGCATTATACATGCTAAAGTTACAGTTGGGGTAACGCTGCGAATGAGGAAGCACAAACAAGTCAAAACAAACAAGAAACATTACAGATGGGTCAACAAAAACACGATTGGAAATGTTTTATTCGTTCTTGAACTGAACAAGTCTCTCCTGAAAGTTCATCCAATCACCAGGGGGGTGGAGGGATGTGGATGGCGGATTAAGTGCATCGCTATATGCCCGATTAAAACTTTGCATTCCACGACTGATTTCCCATATGCTTGTGACTTTATATGCACAAAGGGTTCAAGAGCGGTGGTGGATTTTGACCAATCCGTTCGCCCTCAAGTTTTTGTTTTGTATGCCTCTCCCCTGGTTCCTTTTCTTCAATTGTTTTCCCCCCTCTCCTCATTCCTGGTATTCACTTGACCTTATTCCCCCGGTTCCCAGAATGTCACCTACCCAACCACCACCATCCCACCTACCCCACCACCACGCCACCTATCCCATCACCAATCCACCTACCCAACCATCACCCCATCTACTCCACCACCACCACCACGGATACATGCTGGCAAGCCTTCTCTACTCTTCACTGTATTCCTTTCCCAGAGCGAGCGTGGCAAAAACGCATTGCAGCGGAAAAAGCTGAAAGAATGCTTATTTTGATGCCGACTGGTGAAATGTCGAGGTTGAATGGAGGCTTGGGACACAAGCACACACACACACACCAGGCACACAGAGAGGCAACGATCCCCCATTTAGCCTTATTGACTGCAGGGGCAAGTGTTGTTCGTGAATATCTATTTAAGGGCAACATCGCACCCTAAGAGCTGTTGTGACCAGGTTCTGGTGTTCATACGCCGCACCGACCACTCATTTAAGGCTGAGCCAACCTAAGGGAGGTGCAGGATAGACAATAATTCCGACTGATGCTGTAGATGGATACGAATTGAAGGCAGAGTGCAAGGACCATTTCACATTCGCAACAACGTAATGTATGCACATTATGTTGAACTTTTTCCGCACCGTACGTAGTCAACCATGCTAATCGGAGGTGCAGGGCCACAGTGCTTGTGCCAGGCTACGTGCACTTTGAGGCAATGTGAATGTCAAAGGCTCGCTGGCAGGAGGTCACAGGACATGCCCAGGTGTTATGGGTTGGCTGACTGAAGTGACCGGCAGATGCATCAACTGGGCTCCCCACTGCGCCAGCTTGTAGTGTTTTAGCCACCAGGTGCTCTGCACACCCCAGACAAAAATACAAAGAGCTTCCACGTAGCCTTCAGCAGTTACTATTGGGGTAAGCGACACTAGCAAGCACTGATGAAGGTCTACTTGGTACACAGGGAGTGTGCAGCATGTATTTGTCCTAATATCTCCCATTTTGCAGGTCATAAAATGTACTCATTTTATACTCGGCAAACTTCAAGGAAGGGCCAGTTTAGGTTTAATTAACAATTACCAGTTGTGTGCTCGGCCAGGAGTGAAACTTGGGTCATTGGGATTTCCACGCAGTGCGTTAATCACTGCACCACCCCTTCCCACGTACAGCGAATAGTTTTAATGACGGAGGCTGGCTGCCAGACTCAAACGCAGAAGCTCAGCAGTTGCTCGCTCAGTGCTAGGAGGCGGTCAGGCTGAGCCTGTGGAGAGCCCTGTCCAGTTGAATCAGAAAGTTTACTTAAACTGGAGGAATACAATAAGCTTTTGTTTTACAGATGTCGAGCACGGGGCAGGTCAGAACGTTACAACAACAAACAAGACAAAAACACAATAGGAGTGCAAAGTACAGGAAATGTAAACAAATCACTTAAAAAACAAATAAACCAAACTATTTATATCTTAGCAGGTAAAGCCCACTGAGCTATGAGCTTCATTTTCAGAAACTACTCAGCCACAAATGATAGCTCAATGAAGTGGCTCATCCTGTGGAAATGTAAAGCAGTAAAATTATCTAAGTAACATAGAATAGTATTGTGTCTCGGTGTGGAGTTTGAGGGACCAGAAGGGAAACAATTGCGGGGGAAGGGAAGGAACAGAGGGCATTCCTGTCACCCCTTATCAGTGCCCTACCTTATTACAGACCAATTCACACCTTATTGGTCATCCCGTGCCCTTATACATCTCAACGTTCATCCTACAAAGTCCCATCACAAGGGAGAAGCACAAACAAATAGAGCAAAATACTTTTTTTTGCCCGTTTTGAAACGGCCGTACGCCGTATGAAACCTGACAACTCAATTTCCCTAGACAAGAATACGGGGTAAACTGTGTAGATTGACTGTTGTGAGAGCACCACAACTGGGCAGTGCATCTCCGCAAGGATTTCTTTGATTAGACAAAGCCAGAACATACAAAACATCAGCTCTCTTTCAAAAAGGGCTTATCGACACGTGGTGCAGCTAATAGTGGACATCTGTGAAAAAGAGTTACACAGCTCATTCGATTCTTCCAGTGTGAATCCATATTCTGGAAATAGCGTAGCCTGCGTGTGCTGTATAACAGAAGCCCTGCCTAAAGCTACGGTAACTTTATCTCTTGTTGTTGTTGTTGGGGGTTTTCACACTTGGGCTGGTCTCCAAAAATGTCCGCGCAAAAAAATTACCCTTTCACAAAAGCGCAGTTATATTAGTAAGATTTGTTTTGTTTTGCTCCTATTTAAAGGTCACTGAGCACAAGGAAGGTTTAATTGTATTTTACTACAAAAATGCATAAAAGTTGTATTAATTACGTTAATTGTAAAATAAGCAAACATTTAAACAAGGACTGCATTTATGAAAATGAACACAGCTCTGTGTGAACGTGGTTTCGTTGTTTGCCGATACGAAAATATATATTTTTTTTATGGCCACCGTGTGATATTTAGTTATTCGCACGTTTAACAGTACTCACGTAAAACATTAACGCATGTTGTGCCCGGCGCTTTTGGAAGAAAAAATATAATAATTGGAATCAAATGTGTGCACGCTTTTTTTTGGTCTTCTCCCCGAGTAAATATATTCCCCAAACGCAGCTTCACAGATCTCGGGGCTTTACGCTCTTTCGCTTGACAATCCAGGGACATTTTGCTTTT